AGGGGCGGGTGCGACCCCGCCCTCCCCCCGTGGATAATTATTACGCTTTCCCGCCAACCTGATCCGTGCTTCTTCGTTTCGCCAAAATCACCAATACTCCATTCGTGAATATATAATATTTGCTCCTCTTTCTATCAATATTTTCCTCCATATTACTATGAGATGATTTTAGTGATCATGATATATACGTTTTATCATAATGATTCGACACAATTACAACAACTTCACTCACAGTAGCACAGCAGTACACACTGATATCGACATCACGACTGATCACTACATCATGCTACATCAGACACATCACTACGACATCTACATTAGTCTAGTATAGATATATATAATATAATATATATAGTATAATTATATTACCACTAGTGTATAGGTTACTGCTAAATATACGTACATCATCACGAGCCACGAAACACACACATCGCGTACAGCAACACTGATCTCACGACTCAATCAACCGACTAGCAATCACATCACGGATCGCTATAACTTATACCTTAGCTACGTACTATAATATATATATATATGAGAGTGAATGAACTGACCAGCTGTTACCCTATTTCTATATATATATATGCTGATTATTATTTATTATTATGTTTACTCGTGTATTCTTATAACTGCGTCTCATATTACCGGTCATCATTCAGGACAGCACACACACACACAACACACGGTAGTTGTAGCACACAACACTTTCCACACGTCACAGCCACGAGCAGTCACATTTCTCAGTATTATTTCTTATTCATTACCTATTATTATCTCCTTATATACTTTTTATTAATATATAACTATTATTACTAGTATGTATGATATATTTTAGGATTTGATTATTAAGACTTATTCATTCTACGCCTGAGTTAACATTGCTAGGTATATGGTCATAGTATTGTAATTCAATACTATGCTTCTACCCATTCTATCAATAATACAATCATATCTGATCATGTATTGATACCGCTTTCTCACCTACTATATTATTATATTCTCAATATATATGTATATATTATAGTATATCTATATATAATATACTTATATATATACCTCATATATTAACTAGATAGTATACTCATGTAAGTATATATGTAAGATGGTGAGTAATATAGACTGATAAATCAAGTTTCTCAATGCCTATTTTCAATATATACATAGGTAACTCGGAGCAAGCACACGTGTAGTAGTAAATTGTTTTATATCACATAATTATTGTTCTCAGAAATTCATCATAAATAGTATCACGGTTGACGTCACACTATCTACTGCGAGGTCATCCATCTACTAACTCAGACATCGTAACGGAACGCATGGCGCAGACTGCAACACCTATCCAATGTTAAGCAGCCAAGACACAAGGTGTATAGAGCTCAGCTGGGTTCGATGCCGGCAAGAATCATAACTGAATCCCGAGGCAGACCCTTCAGGGCAAGGAATTAGTGCTGGGCACGCCAGCGGCTAGCCCAGTGCTTTGAAGTCAGCTGGTTGCCTATGCCCCAGCTGAAGATACCACGAAGGTCGACCTAGGCTTTCGGGCACTCGAGGCCTATTTGCATTGACCTCGCGTGCTCTGGGTGGAGCTCGTCACGCTATCTTGCAGTCTGGTGACTGAGGGAAATACTCCCAGTCCGAATCGCCACCGACCGAGTGGCAGCTTGTTGACCTTCCGGACCTTCTAACACCGGGGCTTCTGGCTGCCAGGGGGACCCAGCATCGGTGTGCTTGTTTAATTGTGGGGGATGGGTTGATCTGCGCAGTGCGATCCCTTCGAATGTGATTTAGAGTGGAATCGGCGCAGATTCACTCAAGGAAAATTATGTTTGCATAATGCCGATTAAATTTTTTTTCTCAGTTTACCAGTTTATGAAATGGCTTGGATGTGTCTTCAGTCTTATTTCTAACAATCTTACTCAATTCATTAATGAGGAAGGTAAGCAGATGGAAAGAGGAGAAGGTACGGGTTGTTTGTTGGAAGGGTGAAGCAGTTGAATAACAACAGACCATTACCAGAATCGACTGTAGAAGAAAAGTCAAAATCAAATTATTATACTGAATGTATTTATAAAAAGGGAGAAATATGGTAATGAATAAGAAATAGAAAATGACCGCACGAAATGTAAACACCCCCTAAAATACGGAAGCGTTTAAGAAACGGAAACAAATAAAATAAAAACAAAACGAATAGGGACAGCGGTCAGTTCATCCCCAGCGTGTCAGGGAAGCGACCTAGAGCATCGTGATGAGCTGAACACTACCATGTGTCGGCCTGAGATGCCACTGTGGTAATTATCTATTCGACTAATAATGCGTATAATGCTATTACAATATGCATGTGATCATATTACAGTATGTTTGAGTTTTATTCCCATGTAAAGCAATCCAATCTCTCAGAATATGGAGGAAAATATTAATAGCAGAGGAGCAAATTATATATTCACGTAAATGGAGTATTGGTGATTTGGCGAAACAAGGAGCCGTTGGCGGGAGCGTAAAATATTATCCCACGCGTCGCTACCTCATAACGTTGCGTGAAGTCGGACCTTTCACACGTAAGTACTAGCACGGGCTTATTGTTTATGTTTGAATGGGTTGAAGTTATCTATAAAAAAATGGGTTAATTTAATTGGACTGACCCGAATGAGTATGGGTTATATTTTGTTTATTTTTTTCATTGCAGAATGTATTGATGCATTATCTGAATTTCTTTTGGTATGGGTTTGATTAATGGCAATGAGGCTTTTATGAAAAAGAGTTTATGGAATCAAGATCATGATGAAAATTATATATTGCATATGACACTGTTGTCGCAATTGATATGTAAGAAATCTAAAAAAAAAAGTCATTAACAGGCATTTTACCCCCATTTTGACCAATACTAACAAATATTTATGAGGATCTGCAATTTCATATTCTAAGATCTGTAAGTAATTAAGATTTTTCATAACACGTATTCAGGCCTTACGTAATTTATCACTATATATACAAATAGAGTTTCCATTCTCATTCGCAAATTTTATCTGCTATTTATCATATTTGTGAGAAAACGTTCGTCGCGTCCAAGTTCCTGTTTAATTTCTATTAAAAAAACTAACAGTAAAACAAGTTCATTAAAAAGGTGGCTACATTTTCGAGTTCAACTGGACTTCACTTTTATGCATATACTCTATTATTCAGTCACAGAGAAAGTTGAGTTAGATGCTACATATTCAAAAGATAAGGTTAAACAGAGTAAAAAATATTTTTTGTTAAGAACTGGCCTCGAAGCATTGTTTTTTTACGATTTTATAATAGTATCTTTATAATTTTCAGATAATGTAAGAGGTTTCAGTTTATTTTTACTCTAGTGATTATCGTAAAAGACGATGTATGTATCTCTCTCTTCTTTCTTTCTTTCTCCGTCTCTCTTTCTCTGTCTGTCTGTCTCTGTCTCTCTGTCTCTATGTCTCTCTCTCTCTATCTTCTTTCTTTCCTTTCTCTCCCCCCCTCTCTCTCTCTTTCTTTCTTCTGTCTTTCTCCCTTCCCCCCTTCTCTCTTCTCTCTCTCTCTCTCTCTCTCTCTCTCTCTCTCTCTCTCTCTCTCTCTCTCTCTCTCTCTCTCTCTCTCTCTCTCTCTCTCTCACTCACTCACTCACTCACTCACTCACTCACCCACTTCTAACTTCGCTGTCTGCTTCTGGTGAAGTACTTACACAACCATAACAACTTACATAACCGTCATATTCACACAATGCGAGAGGCTAAGGAATGGAGGGACTTTGATTTGATTTGATAAATTGATTTCGACCAGGAGATGTATAGATACATATCATTAGGTAAATATATGAATAGATAAATACATAGATAAGCAGTCAGATCAGTATGTATGGATGGATATATATGTATATATATGGATATTTATACACATATATGTGTATATACGTATGTATGTATAGGAAGATAGAGAGGCAGGCAGGTAGGCAGGTAGGCAGATAATTACAGGAGAGAAACAAACATGAATTCGAGGGAGGAGAGAGATAAGATATAGAAAGAAAAAGAAAGAACACACATTATATATATATATATATATATTAATATATATATATATATATAATATATATATATATATATATGTTTCTCTGTGTGTGTATATATAAATGTATGTGTGTATGTGTATGTGTATTTGTATGCGTATGCATATGATTATGTATCTATATATATATGTATATATGTACATATGTAAATGTATGTCTTTGCAAATGCATATATATATACAAACATATATATATATATATTATATATATATATATGTATATATATATATATAAATATATATATATATGTATATATATGTATTATATATATTTATATATACATATAAATGCATATATGTATACACATATTTATACATGTATATACACGTATATACATGTATATATGATATATACAGTTGAATATATATATATATATATATATATATATATATATTATATATATATATATTATATATATAATATATATATATTATATTATATATAGAGAGAGAGAGAGAGAGAGAGAGAAAGAGAGAGAGAGGGAGAAAGCGCAGGGTCCAAGCATCACCCTTTGGCGGGCCCCGGGTACATGCATAAGGCGGGCCCCTCTGCTCTGAGTCACATCACGACGGTGTTCTTCAATTGCCAGGGGAACGCACACTCTTTAGGCTTCGTTCGTTCTTTGTTCTTATTTATTGACTCTTGAAGAAATATTAAGATTATGGAATTGCTACCGTGAGGCCCCCTGGTTGCTGGGTCCAGGGGAGAAAACGAGAGGGACAACGCATGCATGCACGTGCACACGCACACGCACACGCACACGCACACGCACACTGCACACACACACACACACACACGGGGCGCGGCGCACAAAAACACTTATCCAGGAACACACACATAAAAGAGACCAGATAACTCCTATGCTTGAATTCTGAACGAGCCTCCTCTTTCCAAAAATGGCGTTTATGTCTCTCACAGGCTAGGG